TTGTTCGTAAATTTGTAAAAAGAGAAAAGCTTCTGGAGCCGCCGGACGTCTTTATCATTGTGTTAAACTGTTGTCATTGCAGTTGCACTATTTGTAACCTGATTTACTTGGAATAATCTGCGAATTACCAAGTTGGTGGTCAACAAATTATTTTATATTTATTTTCAGTACATTGGAATATTTTGTGATGCAGTTTACGTGATTAATTCTGGGGCCTTCACAGTACCCGTCAATTTAGCCCACGATGGAATAAAATTAATACCCAATTCATATGGCCGACAACCCATTTCACGCAGCCCACTACCTATTCATACATGCCATTTAATTAAACAAAAAGGAAATCAAGCATAGGAGGATTAGGTGGGCTGGACTCTAAAAGTGGTTTATTTGAGGTGAGCAACATGTGGGTCTAAGGGGATTATTTTCCAAAGAGAAAAAAAGAAAGTGAGGAAAGAATTGAGGTCAGCCGTCATACACATACACTCGTCTTTATTTATTTTCCTGGGAGATACGAAAGCGCAGACTTTGGGGAATTATTGGCGGAGAGAAGATTACACACGCAGACAGAAAGAAAGACGAGGAACCCGATCAATCGCGGAGGGAGGCCGCACCTACACACGAGAAGGATAACTTTATTCTTCTCTTTTGCTTTTTATTTATTATGTTAGGGTAGTTTTTATTTCTAGTTCCGGGGAAGTTGAACCCTACGATTGACGATGTTTAATTGATTTTCATGGTTGATAATTTAGTTGTTTTTTTGGAATTGTTTGTGTTATTTTGAATAATTAACCATGATGTGTTGAGTCTTATATAGATTGATCACCTAGATTAGGCTTTTCATATCTACAACTGAATTAGACCTTCAATCCGTAATTGATGTTGTGTTTAGTTCATTAGAGGCTACCGGATGACGGTAACTATCGTGGATAATACGACCTATTTAAGTGAACGAACGCGGTTGAGTTCACTACATAGTCTAGCCTATTTTTCTAATTCGTAAAGCGGCTAATTGTATTAAATCTTGAAAACGTTTTTCTTGACTGTACAAGAAGTCAGGTTTAATTATAGAGCGTCTCGCAGTTAAATTAAAATTAAGGAAAAATTCGGGTAATAGATCGTGTCGTTACCTAGGGCTAGTAATTTGATACCAAAGTTAATTACATGAGTTGGTCAAGGGTGTAGACGAAACCGTGAACAAGAAAGTTCTCTTCATTTATGTATTTTTATTTTCATTTTTTAGATATTATTTGCTTTATTAGGATTTTAGTTAATTTTGTTATTAAATTCAATCCCCCCTTTTATTGCTTTTTATAATTTTAATTAATACGAGAAAATTCACAGTTTGATTCACACTCCTCGTGGGATCGACCCTTGCTCGCCACTACTACTAGTTAGTAGAGGTTAGCCGAGGAAAAATATAAATTTTTATTTGCCGCGTTGCGACGCGCGGTCAAATTTTGGCGCCGTTGCCGGGAAGTGGCACTATTGAATTGTGATTTTTGAGTACTAATTGAGTTTTTTTTTTTTATTTTTGTTAGGATTTTATTTTTATCATCTTTTACCCCTTTCTTTTTCCTTGTTTTTATTCCTTGTAGAATACTGNTCTCTTTGTTTTTTGTTATTTTTATTTGCTGGCAGAATACAGGACGCCCCCATACTCGCGTGATTGACCCCATACTCGCGAGAATAACTTGTCTTTCGGCGATTTTAGCGAGCTTGGCACAACTTTTCGAGAATGACAGCCTATTATCACGATTTTTATTCTTACGGTGCACCTTACTAGTATGAGAGGGAGATACGAGGCCCGTGGATTGGAGATCGAGGCGTAAGAGGACCCAGTGGTTGGCGAAGGGACAAGCAAAACTACTTATATCCTGATGAGTATGAATACCGCTTGAGAGAGCACTCGAACTATTTCCATGGATACTCCGAGCCATTAGTTGAGAGACATCCCAGCCCATCGCTCAAGGATATGGTGAAGGCACTAAAGGCTCACACGTTGAGATTTCTGCAAGAACACTCCGAGCCATTTGTTGAGAACGACCCTGGTCCTTCTCTCGAGGATATGATGAAGGAGTTGACTGCTAACACCCTTAACTTTCAGCAAGGTGTTGAGGCGAGCATCAAGAACGAAGGAGTGCGCATAAAGAATTTAGAGGACCCTTAACATACCTTCTCTTGAGACAATCGAGCAAAACCAAAGGTGTAAGTGGGAGTTTCATGAGATGGTGACCGTGATTGAGCGTGGGTTGCTTCACATTCATAGGGAATTAGCGTCATGGAGGAAAGATCCGGTGAAGCACCCAACACCGGAGAGTGGGGATTTCGTCAAGCATGGCGTAGTGAGATTTGTGGCTCCCTTACCTCCGAAGCCGCCATGGATTCTTTGATGAAAGGAAGTAATAAGTTGGGCAAACGACAATAAAAAGAGGCGCTTGTTGGGAGGCAACCCAATGGTGTGCGTGGTTCGGTGACTTGTTCCTCATTAACTAAGGTGAACTCGTTTCTTTTACCTCCATATTTTTTTTATTGTGTTTATTGGTGTCGATGATATATGCAAACTCTAAGTTTGGGGAGGTGGTTTATTGGTGAGCATTCATGATTTATTATGTCATTGTATTTTTTCCCCTTAGAGTTTGAGTCTTAGATTGGCTACATGACATTTGCTTGTGTGTGAGATTGAGATTGCATGTACGTGGAATTTTGCGATGATGACATGAGAGTCGGTATGAATTTACTGTGCTAGTTTAAATAGCTTGAGTTAATTTTATTTGGTTAAATTCTTAAAGTGTTTTTATTTTGGGGACAAAGGTATGATGATTGATATTTTTGTGATTCATTTATGGTGAGTTGGTTTTGAGGCGATTTGTGTTGTTGACATGTGCTTGTGATTGCCTTAATCAATGTTGATTAAGTTTGGGGACTTGAAGTTGAAAGTTGGGGTTTCTATGTCTCGTAGTCGAAAAAGAAAAGAGAATAATGAGGATGGAGGAATAATTGGTGGAGTTGAAAAGTCGTTTGGCACAAAAAAAATAAATGAAAAAAAAAAGTTATGGGCTGCAACAGCTGCCAATCGAGAGAGAGAGAAGAAAAAAAAAGAAGGAAAAAAAAGAAGAAAGAGAAAAATGGAGAATGAGACATTTAGACTTCGGCTAGAAACGGAAATGAACTAGACTTGTTAGCAAAGAGAGAGGTGTCATTAGTTGCATTGATCGGTGCATTCGTTATAGAGATTGACAAACTATGGTGGTCACTTGGATTGATACTTGATATGTTTGAGTTCCTAGAATGATTTCATTTTGAGTCCGGATAAACTAATTTGAGTTGTTTGAGCTATGCACTTATGTGAGAAGTGTGAGACCCTGAGTAAAGTTCCACGTACTTGTTTTCTTATCTATCTATGTGCTTCCAGTTCTAAGTTGCTTAAGGACAAGCAATAGTTTAAGTTTGGGGAGATTTGATTAGTCGGAAAAAGTGTGTATTTTATATATTTATTAGTGTATTTTTATATGCTTAATTTTATCGCACTTATATATTTTTTGACTTATATATTTATTAGATGGATTCTAGTGCTTTGATTATTTTATATTTATTTTCAGTGCGTTGGAGTATTTTGTGATGCAGTTTACGTGATTAATTCTGGGGCCTTCACAGTACCCGTCAATTTAGCCCACGATGGAACAAAATTAACACCTAATTCATACGGCCGGCAGCCCATTTCACGCAGCCCGGCCCACTACCTATTCATACAGGCCATTTAATTAAACAAAAAGAAATCAAGCATAGGAGGATTAGATGGGCTGGACTCTAAAAGTGGTTTATTTGAGGTGAGCAACATGTGGGTCTAAGGGGATTATTTTCCAAAGAGAAAAAAAGAAAGTGAGGAAAGAATTGAGGTCAACCGCGATACACATACACTCGTCTTTATTTATTTTCCTGGGAGATACGAAAGCGGCCAGACTTTGGGGAATTATTGGCGGAGAGAAGATTACACATGCAGACAGAAAGAAAGACGAGGAATCCGATCAATCGCGGAGGGAGGCCGCACCTACACACGTGAAGGATAACTTTATTCTTCTCTTTTGCTTTTTATTTATTATGTTAGGCTAGTTTTTATTTCTAGTTCCGTGGAAGTCGAACCCTATGATTGACGATGTTTAATTGATTTTCATGGTTGATAATTTAGTTGTCTTTTTGAAATTGTTTATGTTATTTTGAATAATTAACCATGGTGTGTTGAGTCTTATTTAGATTGATCACCTAGATTAGGCTTTTTATATCTATAGCTGAATTAGACCTTCAATCCGTAATTGTTGTTGTGTTTAGTTCATTAGAGGCTACCGGAAGACGGTAACTACCGGGGATAATACGGCCTATTTAAGTGAACGAACGCGGTTGAGTTCACTACTTAGTCTAGCTTATTTTTCTAATTCGTAAAGCGGCTAATTGTATTAAATCTTGAAAACGTTTTTCTGGACTGTACAAGAAGTCAGGTTTAATTGTAGAGCGTCTTGCAGTTAAATTAAAATTAAGGAAAAATTCGGGTAATAAATCGTGTCGTTGCCTAGGGCTAGTAATTTCATAAGATTGCGGGATTTGATACCAAAGTTAATTACATGAGTTGGTCGAGGGTGTAGACGGAACCGTGAACAAGAAAGTTCTCTTCATTTATGTATTTTTATTTTCATTTTTTAGATATTATTTGCTTTATTAGGATTTTAGTTAATTTTGTTATTAAATTCAATCCCCCCCTTTATTGCTTTTTATAATTTTAATTAATACGAGAAAATTCACAGTTTGATTCACACTCCTCGTGGGATCGACCCTTGCTCGCCACTACTACTAGTTAGTAGAGGTTAGCCGAGGAAAAATATAAATTTTAATTTGCCGCGTTGTGACGCGCGGTCAACATCGCATACATAACTTAATAAAACAGATGAAGTTCACAATGCAAAAAGACAAAATGGCAGGTTCACAATGATATGCACAAATTTATGTGATTACCAGTACTTTGGTAACCTGCTCAATATTTGGTACACCATCGACCTCTTTCCATCATCGTCCATGCTGAAAAACAGTTCTATCTCGTCAACGTTCTTAGATAAGTACCGAGCAACAACGACCCTTGCATCCGTTGTTAAGGTAGGAATTTTTTTGAGTGCATCGTAAGCGGCTATTCATTGCGCTTTTGCATCAATGTGGTAACCGACACGTGTGGACAGTTCTGAAAGGTGGTTGTTAGTCTCTTGGCAAACAGATGACAGTAGCCCGACTATTTTATCCTCCACTTCAACATTACGCTTAATTTTTCCGTCACGCTTAGACTTACCAGATGCACTACTCTCACCTGCTTGAGCCGAAAAAGAGTCATAGTTATTTTGAGGATAATCATAATGTTCCGCGCAAGCGTCTTGAGTGGGTTAGGGCTCGGTACTTCGACGTTTGTAACATGTAAGACCTCATTAACCGCGTTAGTGAAACCTTGTTCCCTTTCTCCCATTACCCGATCCTTTCCGAAAATTTCCACCCAATCCGAAAAAAAGGGCCAAGGTTTATAACGCAATCCTTTGGCCTTTGGATGTGCCTAAAACAATGAAAACAATGTAAATGCTCCTTTTAACTTAGTATTAATTAAACACGAAATGAAAGGTGTAAATCAAACCTTGAGGTAGGCTTTCCACACGGCATCATCCCTCACTGTAATCATGTTCCCCGCTTCACTCCATGCGAACCCCGAAGTAGCAAGCATTTCCAAAAGCAAACCATATTGTTTTTCTACACCTGATCTTAGATGATATGTGAGGTTCGGCTCTTATGGTTGTTCCTGGGAACATCTGTTGCATGTGTTGTTCTAATATGGTGGTGTATCCATTGTGAAATCCGTTGTCGCATCTCCATCCGCGTGAGACAAGATCGCGCAAACCTTCAATCAGAGCATGCTCCTCATCTTCATTCCAAACTCGACGTTGTCTGGCGGCCTGTGAATTACGTCCCCCACTGGCAGTGGATTCCATGAGTAACTAATCACCAAAGACATACACAACAATTGCTACGTTACTGCCTTCAGCAACCCAAAAAAAGAATATATTATAAGCAACAAATGACCAACATTAGAAAGAGAAAGAGGAATTTCTATTAATTTTAAGCACACAAAGAAGTAGAAAAACAGAAATAATACCAATCACACAATTCAAACAGTCATTCACATAATTTTGATTCAAACATCATGTCATTGGTTT